TGCGTGTGTGGTGAGTTGCGTGTGTGGTGAGTTGCGTGTGTGGTGAGTTAGGTGTGTGGTGAGTTGCGTGTGTGGTGAGTTAGGTGTGTGGTGAGTTAGGTGTGTGGTGAGTTAGGTGTGTGGCGAGTTGCGTGTGTGGTGAGTTAGGTGTGTGGTGAGTTAGGTGTGTGGTGAGTTGCGTGTGTGGTGAGTTGCGTGTGTGGTGAGTTGCGTGTGTGGTGGGTTAGGTGTGTGGTGAGTTAGGTGCGTGGTGAGTTAGGTGCGTGGTGAGTTAGGTGTGTGGTGAGTTAGTGTGTGGTGCGTTACGTGTGTGGTGAGTGGATTGCGCAGTCGTTAGCTCGGCTTGTGCTGCTAACCCAGAGACCCCCCAACCCCGAGTTCGATTCCCGCTCACGGCCAACACCGGTGACGATTATTTAAAACGTTCCTGGGGGAGGGCGGGGGGCCTCTTCCCCTAGGTTGACTGCCTTAGATTAACTACCCCTTGACGCCTGCTTGTATTTTTTAATGCACACCTACACACCTGATGACGACCGTTTGTGTTATGGTCGGAACGTCGTGAGAATTTTATTGTTATATATATTTATTATTTTTGTTGTTTCCCTTCAACGTGACTTTACCGAAAGAGCTAAGATTATGTATTTTTTGAGTTTGCAAATCCCTCCCCCCCCCACCATCCTCCCCGTCATGCTCGTACATTATTTGTGCGCTGTGAATTTCCACGAGGACGACGAGCAGCTTGTGTCGGGCTGCTTGTCGTTTGCCATGTAGCCCTGGGATCTCTTCCGAAACGGGAGCTGCGTAACAGTTAAGCGGAGCCTCTTACAGCTGATATAAAAAATATATATTTAGAGGATTATTTAGAGGATTAAACAGCAGCGTTGGTGTGAGACGGAAGGGTGCTGTGGTGGGTGGGCAGCCGTGGTGATGGCCATCCAATCCACCACGTTACCAACAGCCTGCTAGAGGCTACACGGGGGATCTTTGTGTGTGTGTAGGTGCTACTGACAGCACTTGCCCCCTACTGCCTGCTAGAGGCTACACGGGGGATCTTTGTCTGTGTGTAGGTGCTACTGACAGCACTTGCCCCCTACAGCCTGCTAGAGGCTACACGGGGGATCTTTGTCTGTGTGTAGGTGCTACTAACAGCACTTGCCCGTACTGCCTGCTAGAGGCTACACGGGGGATCTTTGTCTGTGTGTAGGTGCTACTAACAGCACTTGCCCCTACTGCCTGCTAGAGGCTACACGGGGGATCTTTGTCTGTGTAGGTGCTACTAACAGCACTTGCCCCTACTGCCTGCTAGAGGCTACACGGGGGATCTTTGTCTGTGTGTAGGTGCTACTAACAGCACTTGCCCCTACAGCCTGTTAGAGGCTACACGGGGGATCTTTGTGTGTAGGTGCTACTAACAGCACTTGCCCCTACAGCCTGTTAGAGGCTACACGGGGGATCTTTGTGTGTAGGTGCTACTAACAGCACTTGCCCCTACAGCCTGCTAGAGGCTACACGGGGGATCTTTGTCTGTGTGTAGTTGCTGCTACTCGCTACTACGGACAGCACTTGCCCCTACTGCCTGCTAGAGGCTACACGGGGGATCTTTGTCTGTGTGTAGGTGCTGCTACTCGCTACTACTGACAGCACTTGACCCTACTGCCTGCTAGAGGCTACACGGGGGATCTTTGTGTGTAGGTGCTGCTACTCGCTACTACGGACAGCACTTGCCCCTACTGCCTGCTAGAGGCTACACGGGGGATCTTTGTCTGTGTGTAGGTGCTGCTACTCGCTACTACGGACAGCACTTGCCCCTACAGCCTGCTAGAGGCTACACGGGGGATCTTTGTCTGTGTGTAGGTGCTGCTACTCGTTACTACTGACAGCACTTGACCCTACTGCCTGCTAGAGGCTACACGGGGGATCTTTGTCTGTGTGTAGGTGCTGCTACTCGCTACTACGGACAGCACTTGCCCCTACAGCCTGCTAGAGGCTACACGGGGGATCTTTGTCTGTGTAGGTGCTGCTACTCGCTACTACTGACAGCACTTGACCCTACTGCCTGCTAGAGGCTACACGGGAGATCTTTGTCTGTGTGTAGGTGCTGCTACTCGCTACTACGGACAGCACTTGACCCTACTGCCTGCTAGAGGCTACACGGGAGATCTTTGTCTGTGTGTAGGTGCTGCTACTCGTTACTACTGACAGCACTTGACCCTACTGCCTGCTAGAGGCTACACGGGGGATCTTTGTCTGTGTAGGTGCTGCTACTCGCTACTACTGACAGCACTTGACCCTACAGCCTGCTAGAGGCTGTACGGGGGATCTTTGTCTGTGTAGGTGCTGCTACTCGTTACTACTGACAGCACTTGCCCCTACAGCCTGCTAGAGGCTACACGGGGGATCTCTGTCTGTGTGTGTGTGTAGGTGCTGCTACTCGCCACTACTAACAGCCTGTAAAAAAGAACTTACGCTGGGTGTGTGTGGGGAGCATATTCATCACTTGGGGGGGGGTGTCAAAGTGTAACTCTTCCTCAAAAGAGATGATCCAGAAAGACCGGACCCCCCGGGGAAAATGTAGACCACTGTTTGCTAGAGGCGGTGGGGGGTAGCGATTATCGACCTCGCCTGGTATGCAGGAGGAGGTCTGTCGCGGGGACGGGCGGGGGCGGGGAGAGGTTCGATCCCGACCTCCCTCCTTCCCAGATTGACGCCGCGCGTTTTGCAAATCTGTCGACGCAGGGAAGGGGGGGGGACTCGTTCGCAGGATTAATTTTGGCGGCTGTGAATTATCCACGCGACAATGGGGCGCGTATCCGTTGAGGCTGCGATGGATGGGGCAGGTGCGTGTCTTAAAAAAAAAATTATAAATAGAGCGCGCGGCTCTTGCCACAGTGCTGTGCAGGGTCGCCGGTGCTTTGAATGGTAACAAAATTAATGAAGTGAAAAATTTTTGTTTTAATTTTTTTTTTATTTAAACGGTGCCAGCGGGAGAAATGCCCTCGCGCGACCAGAAGTCGATTGTGAAGCGAGCGGGGAAATTATTTATTTGTCTTTCCGCGAAACTTGGAACACTCGGATGAGCTGCGTGTCGGGGAGGGGGAGTGTGGGGTAGGGGTGGTTTAGGGAGGGTGGGGGTAGGGGTGGTGAGGGTGGGGGAGTGTGGGGGAGGGGTGGTGAGGGTGGGGGTAGGGGTGGTGAGGGTGGGGGAGTGTGGGGGAGGGGTGGTGAGGGTGGGGGTAGGGGTGGTGAGGGTGGGGGAGTGTGGGGGAGGGGTGGTGAGGGTGGGGGGAGGGGTGGTGAGGGTGGGGGGAGGGGTGGTGAGGGTGGGGGAGGGGTGGGGGAGGGGTGGTTGAGGGTGGGGGAGGGGTGGTGGGGGAGGGGTGGTGAGGGTGGGGGAGGGGTGGTGAGGGAGGGGGGGTAGGGGACGTGAGGGAGGGGTGGTGAGGGTGGGGTGGTGAGGGTGGGGGAGGGGTGGTGAGTGTTGGGGGAGGGTGGGGGAGGGGTGGTGAGGGTGGGGGAGGTGAGGGAGGGTGAGGTTAGGGGTGGTGAGGGGGGGTAGGGGAGGTGGTGGAGTGTGGGGTAGGGTAGTGAGGGTAGTGAGGGTAGGGAGTGTTAGGGGCTAAGTGTTGTGTGCAGAGGAGTGAAGTTGGGTTTATGTGGTGGTCCGGATGTTCCGGTCTGCTTTGGCTGCAATGTGTACGGGGGGGTGACGTCACCACGGCACAGGCGCCGTGGTGACGTCACCATTACTTAGTGGCGAATGGCGAGGATTGGTTTGGGCTGTAGTGTGTGGGTGTGTCTGGGTAGTGTCGCGGTCAGCGCTACAGAGCCACGGCGTCCCGAGTTCGATTCCTGCTCATGGTGACGATGATCTGAACCGGTCCTGGGCCGTCCCCTAGGTCGACTTGGCATCAAATGAGTACCTTGTGTAACGTCGCCACTGGGGATACAAAGGCGGTCGGGCGTGGTGCTGGCCACCCACCCCCTCGTGTACCATGCCGGTAGCCTTCATAGGTGCTGCTCACTAACAGCACTTGCCCCTACTGCCTGCTAGAGGCTACACGGGGGATCTTTGTGTGTAGGTGCTACTGACAGCACTTGCCCCTACAGCCTGCTAGAGGCTACCTGGGGGAGCTTTGTGTGTAGGTGCTGCTACTCGCTACTACTGACAGCACTTGCCCCTACTGCCTGCTAGAGGCTACCTGGGGGATCTTTGTCTGTGTAGGTGCTGCTACTACTAACAGCACTTGCCCCTACAGCCTGCTAGAGGCTACCTGGGGGATCTTTGTCTGTGTGTAGGTGCTGCTACTACTGACAGCACTTGCCCCTACAGCCTGCTAGAGGCTACACGGGGGATCTTTGCCTGTGTAGGTGCTGCTGACAGCACTTGTCCCTACAGCCTGCTAGAGGCTACCTGGGGGATCTTTGTCTGTGTGTAGGTGCTGCTACTACTAACAGCACTTGCCCCTACAGCCTGCTAGAGGCTACACGGGGGATCTTTGTCTGTGTGTAGGTGCTGCTGCTACTAACAGCACTTGCCCCTACAGCCTGCTAGAGGCTACACGGGGGATCTTTGTCTGTGTGTAGGTGCTGCTACTACTGACAGCACTTGCCCCTACAGCCTGCTAGAGGCTACACGGGGGATCTTTGTCTGTGTGTCGGTGCTGCTACTACTGACAGCACTTGCCCCTACAGCCTTACAGGCTACACGGGGGATCTTTGTCTGTGTGTAGGTACTGCTACTACTAACAGCACTTGCCCCTACAGCCTGCTAGAGGCTACCTGGGGGATCTTTGCCTGTGTGTAGGTGCTGCTACTCGCTACTACTGACAGCACTTGCCCCTACAGCCTGCTAGAGGCTACCTGGGGGAGCTTTGTCTGTGTGTAGGTGCTGCTACTACAAACAGCACTTGCCCCTACAGCCTGCTAGAGGCTACCTGGGGGATCTTTGCGTCCGATTTTAAAATCTGTAAATTTGCTCCCCTCCCCCCTCCGCGCTCAAGGAGCTGAAGGAACCCAAAGAGCTGAAGGAGGCCAAGGAGGAGGTGACGGTGGACGGGGACACCAAGCCAGCAGCGGAGAACGGCGGCGGAGACAACAAGACCCCTGCCAACGGCACCACTGTGGGTGGGGGGGTGGTGGTGGGGGGGTGGTGGTGGTGGGGGTGGTGGTGGGGGGGTGGTGGGGGGGGTGGTGGTGGGGGGGGGGTGAGGCGGTGATGGTGGGGGACGTGAGGCGGTGATGGTGGGGGGGGTGAGGCGGTGATGGTGGGGGGGTGAGGCGGTGGGGGGGTGAGGCGGTGGGGGGGTGAGGCGGTGGGGGGGTGAGGCGGTGGGGGGGTGAGGCGGTGGGGGGGTGAGGCGGTGGGGGGGTGAGGCGGTGGGGGGGTGAGGCGGTGGGGGGGTGAGGCGGTGGGGGGGGTGAGGCGGTGGGGGGGGGTGAGGCGGTGGGGGGGGGTGAGGCGGTGATGGTGGGGGGGTGAGGCGGTGATGGTGGGGGGGGGTGATGGTGGGGGGGCTGAGGCGGTGATGGTGGGGGGGGTGAGGTGGTGATGGATGGTGGGGGGGGGTGAGGTGGTGATGGATGGTGGGGGGGGGTGAGTCGCTCGCTCTCGTCACTCTCGCCATTCTCATGTTATGCTTGCGTCAAAGGTCTACTGTATAGGTGCTGCTACTACTGACAGCACTTGCCCCTACAGCCTGCTAGAGGCTACACGGGGGATCTTTGTCCGTGTGTAGGTGCTACTCACTAACAGCACTTGCCCCTACAGCCTGCTAGAGGCTACACGGGGGATCTTTGTCTGTGTGTAGGTGCTACTAACAGCACTTGCCCCTACAGCCTGCTAGAGGCTACACGGGGGATCTTTGTCTGTGTGTAGGTGCTGCTACTCGCTACTACTGACAGCACTTGCCCCTACAGCCTGCTAGAGGCTACACGGGGGATCTTTGTCCGTGTTTACGTACAGCAGTTGGCCGTTGTTTCAGATGTTCGTCGTTTTGGTTTCCCTGCAGGAGTCCGCAAGTGGCGAGAAGGAGAATGGCGATAGCAAGGCTGCCTGCAAGGGTGAGGACACGCCCAGTGGTGGTGGTGGTGGTGGTGAGGGTTGTGTGGTGTTGGTGGTTGTGTGTGGGGTGTGGTGATGGTTGTGGGGAGTGGTGTTGATGGTTGTGTTGATGGTTAACATTGGTTGTGTGGTGATGGTTAACATTGGTTGTGTGGTGATGGTTAACATTGGTTGTGTGGTGATGGTTAACATTGGTTGTGTGGTGATGGTTAACATTGGTTGTGTGGTGATGGTTAACATTGGTTGTGTGGTGATGGTTAACATTGGTTGTGTGGCGATGGTTAACATTGGTTGTGTGGTGATGGTTAACATTGGTTGTGTGGCGATGGTTAACATTGGTTGTGTGGCGATGGTTAACATTGGTTGTGTGGTGCTGATGGTTAACATTGGTTGTGTGGTGATGGTTAACATTGGTTGTGTGGTGATGGTTAACATTGGTTGTGTGGCGATGGTTAACATTGGTTGTGTGGTGCTGATGGTGTTGTGTCGTTGGGTGTGGTGATTGTTGTGGGGGGAGTGGTGTTGATGGTTGTGGGGTGTGATGATGGTTGACATTGGTTGTGTGGTGGTGATGGTTGTGTTCTGGCCTCCCACATTATTTAACGTCTTTTTCGACCACTTAGTTCGTGAAGCCTTCAGTAGCTGTACCGGAGGAATTTCCATCTTGTACAGATACAATGGGAGGCTGATCGATGCCCGGGTGCGGTCAAGGGATGGCTCCCTATTGCTCAACCACGTTATGTATGCCGATGATTTGGTAATTGCTGCTCATTCAGAGGAGGAGTTGGAGACGCTGCTGCTGAGACTGGAGCGTGCCACTAAGAGGGTGGGGCCTTACCATCAGCCCCACCAAAACGAAGCACCTGCCTGGGTATTTTGTACCATCGGACATTCCACCCCCACAACTCCCAATCGGTTATGGGGCAGTTGTGTAGAGAGTGGAGAGTTTCCCATACCTGGGCAGTGTGCTTATGACCGGCTCCAGTTTAACAGCAGAGGTCTCACTCCGAATCAGTCGAGCTGCAATATCTTTTCATCGGTTGCGTAACGCTGTGTGGAAGCTACCTGGTCTGTCGCTCCGCACTAAGCTTCAGGTCTTCTCGGCCACGGTCATTCCCTCCCTTCTCTACGCTTGCGAAACGTGGACCCCCCTAATGGAGCATCTTGGCCGGTTAGAAACATTTAGGCTGGCCTGCCTACGATCCATCCTGGGTTTAACCAAGCTGGATTGTGTGAGGAGCTCACAAATCCTTGAAAGATCTGGGCAAAGTCCCATCGGTGAGCTCCTCCGGCAGGCAAGGCTGCGTTGGCTGGGTCATGTAGCCCGCATGCCCAGCCACCGCATGCCGAAACAGCTTTTGTCCGGCCGGATCGAGGGGGCTAAACGGGTGCGGCACGGGCTAGAGAAGAGATGGAGTGATGTGGTACAGGAGGACGTGGAGCTGAGTGGACTTGCCGATGACTGGTACCAGCGGTGTCAAGATCGGCCTCTGTGGAGGAGGCTCGTGAAGGACGATGCTGGGCAGTTGGAGGCAGTCGCCCTCCAACAACAACGGAGGGCGGAGGAGCGACGCTCACAACAACGAGCGGAGCGCCGGGTGGCTAAAGCACAGCGGGTTGGCACAGTAGGGGGCACAGGTGGTGCATCAGCCAGTCATCTCAGTCAGTCGACCCGTGGCACCTGGGTCTGCCCTGTGACCTGCCAGCGGGCGTTCGACACTTCACGTGGCCTCAACATGCAGCTTGGCACAAGTGTCATGGTGACGTCTCCGCCATTTAGTGGCGAATGGCGGTTGTTGTTGTCTGTGTGTGTGGTGATGTTTGTGTTGTTGTGGGTGGTGATGTTTGGGTTGTTGTGGGTGGTGATGTTTGTGTTGTTGTGGGTGGTGATGTTTGTTGTGGGTGGTGATGGTTGTGTTGTTGTGGGTGGTGATGGTTGTGTTGTTGTGGGTGGTGATGTTTGTTGTGGGTGGTGATGGTTGTGTTGTTGTGTGTGGTGATGGTTGTGTGTTGTTGTGGGTGGTGATGGTTGTGTTGTTGTTGTGGGTGGTGATGGTTGTGTTGTTGTTGTGTGTGGTGATGGTTGTGTTGTTGTGGGTGGTGATGGTTGTGTTGTTGTTGTGGGTGGTGATGTTTGTGTTGTTGTTGTGGGTGGTGATGTTTGTGTTGTTGTGGGTGGTGATGTTTGTTGTTGTGGGTGGTGATGTTTGTGTTGTTGTGTGTGGTGATGTTTGTGTTGTGTGTGGTGATGGTTGTGTTGTTGTTGTGGGTGGTGATGGTTGTGTTGTTGTTGTGTGTGGTGATGGTTGTGTTGTTGTTGTGGGTGGTGATGGTTGTGTTGTTGTTGTGGGTGGTGATGGTTGTGTTGTTGTTGTGGGTGGTGATGGTTGTGTTGTTGTGGGTGGTGATGTTTGTGTTGTTGTTGTGGGTGGTGATGTTTGTGTTGTTGTTGTGGGTGGTGATGTTTGTGTTGTTGTTGTGTGTGGTGATGGTTGTGTTGTTGTTGTGGGTGGTGATGGTTGTGTTGTTGTTGTGGGTGGTGATGGTTGTGTGTGTTGTTGTTGTGGCTGGCGATGGTTGTGTGGTGGTAATGTTTGTGCAGGTTGAACGAGTGGTGGGTGACTGGAAAGGGGTCGACCTCACCCCCTCACTTACCCACCCCACCCCGCTCACCCTTACCCCCTCCCTCCTCCCACCACTCGCGCAGTTGACGGTGACGATAAGCCGGTGGACTCTGCGGAGGAGGAGAAGGAGGAGAAGAAGGAGAAGAAGGAGTCGTCCCCCGTAGACGCAGCGTCGTCCACGAAAGAGGGCGACTCTGCTGCCACGACAGAAGCCGACAAGGTGACGGAGGCCACCAAAGAAGTCGCCGTCGCCACGGCGGACGAGAAGGCCGAGGGCGGGGACAAGACGGACGGAGACGACAAGAAGAAGGAGGAGCAGCAGCAGAAGGAGGAGGAGCCGGCGGCTGCGAAGGAGGTGGAGGAGGTGAAGGAGGTGAAGGAGGTGGAGGAGGAAGCGAAGGAGGAGGCGGCGAAGGAGGAGGTGGTGGCGAAGGAGGTGGCGAAGGAGGCGGCGGTGGGCGATGTTGGCATCAAACGCCCGGCTGATGCCCCAGCGCAGGTGAGGGTGGGTGATGGGGGTGGGTGATGGGGTGGGTGTAGGGGTAGGAGTGGTGAGTGGTGAGGGTTGGGTGTGGGGTGAGGGTGTGTGTAGGAGTGGTGATGTTGAGGGGTGTGTGTAGGAGGGGTGAGGGTGGATGAGGAGTGAGGGTGGGTGAGGGTGGGTGTAGGAGTGGTGAGGGTGGGTGTGGGGTGAGGGTGGGTGTAGGAGTAGTGAGGGGTGAGGGTGGGTGATGGGTGAGGTGTAGGGTGGGTGAGAGGTAGGTGTAGGAGTGGTGAGGGATGAGGGTGGGTGGGTGTAGGAGTGGTGAGGGTGGGTGTGGGGTGAGAGGTGAGGGGTAGGTGTAGGAGGGGTGAGGGTGGGTGAGAGGTGAGGGGTAGGTGTAGGAGTGGTGTGGGTGAGTGTGGGAGTGGTGATGGTGAGGGTGTGTAGGAGTAGTGAGGGTGTATGATGGGTGAGGGTGAGTGAGGGTGGGTGGGTGAGGGTGTGTGTAGGGTGGGTGAGGGTGGGTGAGGGTGGGTGTAGGGTGGGTGTATGATGGGTGTGGTTACTGTGTGTGTGTATATACAGGAGTCTGGTGCGAGTAGTTTGTACTTTGTGTGTACTCGGTGTACTGTGTGTGTACTCAGCGTGCCCTCTGCGTACTTGCGTGTGTACTGTTTGTGTACTGTGTGTGTGTGGTGTGTGTGTACTGTTTGTGTGGTGTGTGTACCACGTGTGTGCCGTGTGTGTGTACTGCGTGTGTACTGTGTACGTACTACGTGTGTACTGTGTGTGTACTGTGTACGTACTGCGTGTGTGTATACTGTGTGTGTACTGTGTACGTACTACGTGTGTACTGTGTGTGTACTGTGTACGTACTGTGTGTGTGTGTACTGTGTGTGTACTGTGTGTGTGTACTGTGTGTACAGTGTGTACAGTGTGTGTACTGTGTGTGTATACTGCGTGTACTGTGTGTGTACTGTGTACGTACTGTGTGTGTACTGTGTGTATACTGTGTATACTGCGTGTGTGTGTACTGTGTGTGTACTGTGTGTGTACTGCGTAAGTACTACGTGTGTACTGTGTGTGTACTGTGTACGTACTGTGTACGTACTGTGTGTGTACTGTGTGTATACTGTGTATACTGCGTGTGTGTGTACTGTGTGTGTACTGCGTACGTACTACGTGTGTACTGTGTGTGTACTGTGTACGTACTGTGTGTGCGTGTACTGTGTACAGTGCGTGTACTGTATGTACAGTGTGTGTACAGTGTGTGTACTCAGCGTGTCCTCTGCGTGTGTGCAGGAGGAGTCTGGCGAGAGTGACGCCAAGAAGCAGAAATCCGAGAATGGCGACGCTGCCGCTGAGTCAACCGCCTAGAGTCGTCCTCACCAGCCGCTCACCACGACTCACCACCACCACCACCACGCTCACCACCACCACCACGCTCACCACCACCACCACGCTCACCACCACCACCACGCTCACTACCACCACCACGCTCACCACGACTCACCACCACCACCACGCTCACCACCACCACGCTCACCACGACTCACCACCACCACCACGCTCACCACCACCACGCTCACCACGACTCACCACCACCACCACGCTCACCACCACCACGCTCACCACGACTCACCACCACCACCACGCTCACCACCATCACGCTCACCACGACTCACCACCACCACCACGCTCACCACCACCACCACTACACGCTGAACAAACACTAAAGGAACATTCCCCCGCTGCTCGTTACTCCTAACGCACTACACGCGCTACGCAAGGACACACTACACGCACGCTACACACACGCTACACACTCTCTACACACACACTCTCTACACACTCTCTACACACACACTACACACACACCACACACACACTACACACACACTACACACACACACACTACACACACTACACACACCACACACACCACACACACATTACACACGCTACACACGCTACACACACACACTACACACACACTACACACACTCTACACACACTCACACTACACACACTACACACACTACACACACACACTACGCACACACGCTACACACCACACACACAGTACACACGTTACACACGCCCCCTTCACACTACACAGCGCCACACGATTCTACACATTCCAACCCACACAACTCCCCCCACCCCCATTCCGTCCACCCCTCCCTCTCCCCTCTCCTCCACCTCTTAAGCTGCTGTGGTTATGGTGGTGGGTGGTTGTGGTGGTTGTTGTTGTTGTTGTTTGTTGTGCTATCTGTGGGCCCTCTGTGGGATTTGTTTGGTACCGGCCTGCGTCCCCTCTCTCCCCTCAGGTAGACAACGCCCAACTTTGTTTTGGACAAAATTATTAAAAAAAAAAAATTCCGTCCGTCAGTCGCCTCCGGCCACTCTCCACATCTCTCTTCTCTCTACTCGCTCTCTAAATCTCTCTACTATCTCCATATCTCTACTTGCTCTCTACTCTCTCCACATCTCTCTACTCACTCTCCACATCTCTACTCGCTCTCCACAGCTCTCTCGCTCTCCACATCTCTCTACTCACTCCACATCTCTCTACTCTCTCTCCACATCTCTCTACTTTCTCCACATCTCTACTCGCTCTCCACATCTCTCTCCACATCTCTCTACTCTTTCCTCGCTCCCTTGCTCCCTCGCTTGCTCTCTTTCGCTTGCTACCTCTCTACTCGCTCTGTCTCGCTCCCTCTCTCTCTAGCTGGCTGTCTCGCTCCCTCACCCTCGCTCCCCCTCTCTCGCTGGCTTTCTCGCTCCCTCTCTCTCGCTCCCTCTCTCTCGCTCCCTCTCTCTCGCGCCCTCTCTCTCGCGCCCTCTCTCTCGCTCTCTCGCTGGCTGTCTCGCTCCCTACTCGCTCCCTCGTGGAGTAAGTGGGTGGCGGTGGCTGTCCCCCACCGCACCCAACCCGCTCCGTCCACCCCTCCGCCCCGTCCGTCCTTCATAGAGGGGGAGAGAGAGAGCGTCGCTGCTGCTGTGGTGGTGGTGAACGATCGCTGGATATGAAGGATACTTGTACGTCTCCCGGTGGTGGTGGCTGCGGCTGCTGTTACCTCTGTTGCCTTGTGGTGGTGGTGCTGGTGTTGGTGGTGTTGGTGGTGGTGCACACCACAACCGCTGCATCCAGTAGACCTCACCGCCTATCACAACCCACCCCCTCATGCCGACACTGGGCTGGTGTGCGGTACACTGGGCTGGTACACTGGGCTGGCTGGTACACTGGGCTGGTACACTGGGCTGGTACACTGGGCTGGTGTGCAGTACACTGGGCTGGCTGGTACACTGGGCTGGCTGGTACACTGGGCTGGCTGGTATACTGGGCTGGTACACTGGGCTGGCGTGCAGTACACTGGGCTGGTACACTGGGCTGGTACACTGGGCTGGTACACTGGGCTGGTACACTGGGCTGGCTGGTACACTGGGCTGGCTGGTACACTGGGCTGGCTGGTACACTGGGCTGGCTGGTACACTGGGCTGGTACACTGGGCTGGCTGGTACACTGGGCTGGCTGGTACACTGGGCTGGTACACTGGGCTGGTGTACGGTACACTGGGCTGGCTGGTACACTGGGCTGGTACACCGGGCTGGCTGCTACACTGGGCTGGCTGGTACACTGGGCTGGTGTGCGGTACACTGGGCTGGTGTACGGTACACTGGGCTGGCTGGTACACTGGGCTGGTACACTGGGCTGGCTGGTACACTGGGCTGGTACACTGGGCTGGTACACCGGGCTGGCTGGTACACTGGGCTGGCTGGTACACTGGGCTGGCTGGTACACTGGGCTGGTACACCGGGCTGGCTGGTACACTGGGCTGGTGTGCGGTACACTGGGCTGGTGTGCGGTACACTGGGCTGGTGTACGGTACACTGGGCTGGCTGGTACACTGGGCAGGTGTACGGTACACTGGGCTGGCGTGCGGTACACTGGGCTGGCTGGTACACTGGGCTGGCGTGCTGTACACTGGGCTGGTACACTGGGCTGGCGTGCGGTACACTGGGCTGGGCGGTGTACTGGAGTAGGCGGTACACGAGAGTGATTGGTACTGTAGACTGGGGCGGCAGCTGCCGTGCTGGCGACAACCACGAATCGCCCTGTCCACCACCCCTAAAACAGCCATCGCCGTCTTCACCATCGTCACCGGTGGTGGTGGTGGTGGCAGTGGTGAGGTCTGCGGAGGTGTTTCTCACCGTGGTGAGGCAGGGGTCGTGGGGCTGGTGGTGGTGGTGGTGTGAGGGTGAGGCAATGTGTGGGGGTGGAGGTGGTGATGGGAGTTTGTTTTTTATACATAATGGAGGGTTCCTATATTCTTTAGGTCGTTTCAAGGCTGTAATATGATTTAAGTTTTTACATGTTTTTTTGTATTTGCCTCGAGTGACAGTGACGCACGCAGCGAGAGTGATACACAGCGAGTGACACAGCAACACAGCGAGTGACACACAGCGAGTGACACAGCGACACAGCGAGAGTGATACACAGCGAGTGACACAGCGACACAGCGAGTGACACAGCGACACAGCGAGAGTGACTGACACAGTGACACAGTGAGAGACGGCGAGAGTGACACAGACAGTGAGTGACACAGCGAGTGACACACAGCGAGAGACAGCGACACAGCGAGTGACACAGCGAGAGTGACAGTGACACAGCGAGTGACAGTGACACACACCTGCGAGTGACACAGCGACAGTGAGTGACACAGCGAGTGTGACACACGCACAGCGAGAGCGAACAGACTCACCGACACGGCAAGAGTGAACAGCGAGTGTGACTGACACGCACACAGCGAGTGACTGACACAGCGAGGGCAACACAGCGAGTGACTGACACACAGCGAGGGCAACACACAGCGAGTGACTGACACACAGCGAGTGACTGACACACAGTGAGGGATACGGCCGATGTGAATCTCCGTCTCTTGGTTTTCATTTCTAAGGAAAGATTAACAAAAAAAATTTTGTAAGGAGGTTTGGGTGTTGAGTGGGTGGGTTGGACGTCTTAAGTCAATTGTAGTAAGGTTTAAGGGGGAGGCAATGTTTGGTATACAGTTCAACAACGAAAGTTGTAACATTCCGTTAAAGAGATGGTTGGCTGGCTTTGTGGGTGGAATTGGTGTGGGTGGGTCAGGATGGGACCCACCCCTCACCCCCCCACTAACCACACGACCCACCCACCCACGGGGTTGACGTTTGCTGTTTTTATTTGTTCCCAGCCGAATCGTGCGAGCGGCCGTCCTCTTGTTGATGTTTTTTGACGCGGGAGGGGAGGGGGGTTAAGGAGAGAGAATTGATAATAGACGAACCAGTTTGCTGGGGGAGATTCTTTTCCACTTCGTCTCGTCTCTCGCAGTCTCTCTGTGTGTGTGTGGCGTCTGTGGTGGAGATGAGGAGTGGTGGTGGTGTAGATGACGTGTGGTTGGTGATGTTGATGAGGTGGTTGCGTTGAGAGTGGTGGTGAGGTGGGTGAAAGTGGTGGTGTTGACGCGAGTGAGAATGCTGTTGAGGTGAGTGGTATTGATGAGGTGAGAGAGTGGTGGTGTTGAGGTGAGTGAGTGTCGCTGTTGAGGTGAGTGGTCGTGTTGAGGTGTGAGAGTGGTGATGAGTGAGTGGTGGTGTTGAGGTGATGGTGATGAGGTAAGAGTGGTGGTGTTGATGACGTGAGTGATAGTGGTGGTGTTGACGAGGTGAGTGATGAGGTGGGTGGTGTTGACGAGGTGAGAGAGTGGTGGTGTTGACGAGGTGAGTGAGAGGTGGTGTTGACGAGGTGAGTGAGAGGTGGTGTTGACGAGGTGAGTGAGAGTGGTGGTGTTGACGAGGTGAGTGAGAGTGGTGGTGTTGAGGTGAGAGTGGTGTTGAGGTGAGTGAGAGTGGTGGTGTTGACGAGGTGTGAGAGTGATGGTGTTGACGAGGTGTGAGAGTGATGGTGTTGACGAGGTGTGAGAGTGGTGGTGTTGACGAGGTGTGAGAGTGATGGTGTTGACGAGGTGTGAGAGTGGTGGTGTTGACGAGGTGTGAGAGTGGTGGTGTTGACGAGGTGTGAGAGTGGTGGTGTTGACGAGGTGTGAGAGTGGTGGTGTTGACGAGGTGTGAGAGTGGTGGTGTTGACGAGGTGTGAGAGTGGTGGTGTTGACGAGGTGTGAGAGTGGTGGTGTTGACGAGGTGTGAGAGTGATGGTGTTGACGAGGTGTGAGAGTGATGGTGTTGACGAGGTGTGAGAGTGATGGTGTTGACGAGGTGTGAGAGTGATGGTGTTGACGAGGTGTGAGAGTGATGGTGTTGACGAGGTGTGAGAGTGATGGTGTTGACGAGGTGTGAGAGTGATGGTGTTGACGAGGTGTGAGAGTGATGGTGTTGACGAGGTGTGAGAGTGATGGTGTTGACGAGGTGTGAGAGTGATGGTGT